GGGGGGGTAGAGGTACGGGTTAGGGTTAGGATAGGAGCTGTGGGGGGGTAGAGGTACGGGTTAGGGTTAGGATAGGAGCTGTGGGGGGATAGAGGTACTTTTTCTTTTTCTATCAGATCAGACATCAATACTAGGCTATTCAACAGTGGGCTATCTCATTTATCAGTCCAAAAATAACAAAATAAAAAAAAAACATATACAACTGGCGGCATTTATGCCTGGAGACCATGGAAAATTGTACGAAAACCTTTATATTTTTCATCCTAACTGCAAGAACAACCGGTCTCTAAGTCTATTCAGAGTGGATTATTTCCTCTGATGAGACTCCACAAGTTAAAACTCATGTGTATAGTAGGAACATATGTACATACCTGCATATACATGGTTAATATTGTTTCACTACTCTTTGGTTGTATTTGTATTTGTCATAACTAATTCTTTTTTTTTCACTTTTCTTTATGGTCTAAGATGTATACGTGTATATAAATGATTCACTATTGTTTTATTGCTTATTGATCTAATGCTTATAGACGCACAGTAGTTCTGAGGGGTGTGGGGGGTGCAATTTGAAATGTTTAAAACACCAAAATCTGTATCTTGAGCCAAGAATGTCACTCTGTTCTGTGTTTAACCTCCTGAGACCCGAGCTTTTATTTGGCACGCATTTTAGCTTTTTTTTTAAAGATATATGAGATACATATTTAATTAAATGTTTTTACAAATTTTGTTCTGACAGTTCCATTGACTTATTTACATTTTTTCTATTACACAATAAGAACATGATTGGATGGAAATGTATAAAACCATTTTACTTTAGATTTCAAACAGTGTCTGATAGCATCTGCTATGAGGCCAAGAGGTCAAAGCTGAAAGAAAAAAAGAAGTATCATGGTAAAGAGAGACAAAAATGCAACGTCCACTTATGAGGACACGGGGTCTCAGGAGGTTAATAAAAAGACATTTAAAAATAAATGCTTTTTTTTAAAAAGGTTGGCGGGAAATCGTATTTTTTGGGACATTTCCGTGTCGTTTTGAACACTTCTACCTGGCCTGAACTCCTCTGACGCAGTGGACACTGTCGGGGTGATAGGTGCACACGCTGCCCCTCTCCATGTCACAGCTGTAATCAGCCTGAAAAGAACAAGAGAAGCTGGGATTTGTGAGGAATTAAAGGAATTTGAGCCCAGTGGCGGTGGAGGTGTGGATCCTGTTGACTTAAAACTGCATAATTTCCATGGAAACAGTAAAAGTGTGACTCAATTATTGGTTAGAGACAACCCCCGGTTCTTATAATAAAGTTCAGTCTAAGTCTAAGTCTAGTCTATTAGTGATTTCCATTAAGCCTGTGTGGGTTTCTTATTTTTATTTTTGCATGGAAGAACACACAACACTTCTTCCTACCCCATTTTGAGCATGATATACTGAAACTAAAAATCTGTATTTTCTCTTCTTTCTGATGCACTTCTTGTTACTGTGCACTATTTTATTTTTATATTGTATCATGTTCGAATAAAGCTACAACAGAACTACAGAACCCGGATATTTTCCCCAGAGAAGATGGACATCCTCTGTAACTGTCAGGAACAGGTTGCAGTCCGAACAGCCACATGTTGCTTTTATTAAAGTTAGCAAGTTCTTCCCTAAATGAATTCTAACATTTCTTTTCCACAATATTGTTTAGAAGCAGATGTGTGAATTCACACCTGTTTTTTGGTTTGCACATTAAGGAAATCTCTAACTTTCTCTCTCCCATTGAGTACAACTATCCCACTCGGGTCACTGTAAACTGTGTAAACCATGGCAGCTATCTGAGTCTATTTTTTCCCCCTTTTAAATTTGTTTTACTATGTACCACAAACAACTCACCTTAAAATATATTAACTTATTGATTTGCCATGAACTGGTCATGAACATGAAGGTGGATTTGCTTTTAGCTAAAGTTATACCATGCCGTCCTCTTCTGGGAAAAGCCGACAACATCAGAACGGAATCCCTGCATTTTTTAATTTTTTTTGCTTGCTTAGTGAACTGAGAAATACCGATCTGACCACCTGAATGAATCAGAAACACATTATATCACAACGGTGACTATGTAAACCATGGCAGCTATTTCAGTCTATTTTTCCCCTTTTTAAATTTTTTTTTACAATGCATCGCCAAAAAAAATCACCCTAAAATATAGTCATTTATTTATTTGCCCAGAACTGGTCATGAACATGAAGATTGATTTGCTTTTAGTGTTAAGGTGAATTCAAACCAGTTTTTTGGTTTGACCATTAAGGAAACTCTAACCTTCTCTCTCCCAATGAGTACAACTATCCCACTGGGGTCACTGTACACTGTGTAAACCATGGCAGCTATTTGTGTCTATTTTTTCGCCCTTTTTAAATTTATTTTTACTATGCACCACAGAAAAATCACCCTAAAATTCATGAACATGAAGATTGATTTGATTTTAGCTAAATGCTGCCCTCTTCTGGGAAAAGCCAACAACATCAGGACGGAATCCCTGCTTTTTTATTTATTTTTTTGCTTGCTAAGTGAACTGAGAAATACCAATCTGACCACCTCGATGAATCAAAAACACATTACATAGCAACGGTGACTATGTAAACCATGGCAGCTATTTGAGTCTATTCTTTCCCACTTTTTAAAATTTTTTTACAATGCACCGCCAAAACAATCCCCCTAAAATATAGTAATTTATTTATTTGCCCAGAACCGGTCATGAACATGAAGATCCATTTGCTTTTAGGGTTAAGGTGAATTCAAACCTGTTTTTTTGGTTTGCACATTAAGGAAACTCTAACCTTCTCTCTCCCATTGAGTACAACTATCCCACTGTGTAAACCATGGCAGCTTTTTTAGTCTATTTTTTCCCCCTTTTTAAATGTATTTTTACTATGCACCACAGAAAAATCACCCTAAAATTCATGAACATGAAGATGGATTTGATTTTAGCTAAATGCTGCCCTCTTTTGGGAAAAGCCAACAACATCAGGACGGAATCCCTGCTTTTTTAAAAAATTTTTTGCTTGCTAAGTGAACTGAGAAATACCGATCTGACCACCTGAATGAATCAAAAACACATTACATAGCAACGGTGACTATGTAAACCATGGCAGCTATTTCAGTCTAATCTTTCGCCCTTTTTAAAAAAAAATTACAATGCACCGCCAAAACAATCACCCTAAAATATAGTAATTTATTGATTTGCCCAGAACGGGTCATGAACAAGGGCGGCACGGTGGTGTGGTGGTTAGCACTGTCGCCTCCCAGCAAGAAGGTTCTGGGTTCGAATCCCGGGGGAACCAGGGCCTTTCTGGGTGGAGTTTGCATGTTCTCCCTGTGTCTGCGTGGGTTCTCTCCGGGTTCTCCGGCTTCCTCCCACAGTCCAAAAAACCTGCATGTTAGGCTGATTGGAGATTGGGGAAATTGCCCTTAGGAGTGAATGTGAGTGTGAGTGGTTGTTGGTCCTTGTGTGTCTCTGTGTGGCCCTGCGATGGACTGGCGAACTGTCCAGGGTGTACCCTGCCTCTCGCCCGTTGACCACTGGGATAGGCTCCAGTTCCCCCCGCGACCCCATCAGGGAACAAGCGGTATTGATAATGGATGGATGGATGGATGGATGGGTCATGAACATGAAGATTGATTTGATTTTAGTGTTAAGGTGAATTCAAACCAGTTTTTTGGTTTGCACATTAAGGAAATCTCTAACTTTCTCTTTCCCAATGAGTCCAACTATCCCACTGGGGTCCCTGTACGCTGTGTAAACCATGGCAGCTATCTGAGTCTATTTTTTCCCCCTTTTTAAATTTATTTTTACTATGCACCACAGAAAAATCACCCTAAAATTCATGAACATGAAGATTGATTTGATTTTAGCTAAATGCTGCCCTCTTCTGGGAAATGCCAACAACATCAGGACGGAATCCCTGCTTTTTTATTTATTTTTTTGCTTGCTAAGTGAACTGAGAAATATCGATCTGACCACCTGAATGAATCAAAAACACATTACATAGCAACGGTGACTATGTAAACCATGGCAGCTATTTGAGTCTATTTTTCCCGATTTTTAAAATTTCTTTTTACTATGCACCACAAAAAAACACCCTAAAATAAAGCTACTAATTGATTTGCCAAGAATTTGCTTTTAGCTAAAGTTATACCATGCTGCCCTCTTCTGGGAAATGCCGACAACATCAGAACGGAATCCCTGCTTTTTTTTTTTTTTGCTTGCTTGCTTAGTGAACTGAGAAATACCGATCTGACCACCTGAATTAATCAAAAACACACTATATAACAACTAAGGGTGGGACGGTTCACTAAATCCACGGTTCTGTTCGATTCACGGTTTCGTGGTCACGGTTTTCGGTTCGGTTCGGTATATGTTGATTGTTAGGAAAATCTATTATGTCTTGTATAGTCAGGTTAAAACTGAAAGAAAAAAGCAGTCTGACATTTGATACGTTATTGTGACAGTCTTAGGTTAAAAGTAGGTGAGATTCTGGCATTGCAAGAGTGGAAACAGTGCTAATTCCAACATGTGCTTCCCTCTAAATGCAAAGTGGTCCATACAGCAGACCTAGAAACTGCTGTTGGCACGTCTGATTTTTATTATCGGCTACGCTGCTTCGCTTCTTCTTCTTGTTTCCTACTGGTGGTTGGCTTTGGGCGCAGTAGCGCCACCTTCTGCTCTGGAGTGTAAACGCTTCCCTCTGAGAAAAAGGAGCAGCAGGAACCCAACGCAACACACGCGAACCGAACCGAGACAGTCCAACCCAACGGTCCGGACGGTTTTCAGAAACCGTCCCATACCTAATAACAACTGAGGCTGCGGGTGGGCGTACTCACGTGAAATCGGCCCGTGTCGGCCCGGGCCTGGGCCAGTGTGCAGGGGCAGTCCGGGAGCTGGTCCAAAAAAGTGGGCAGCCGTTGTTCCTGAATTTCCCACTGCTCGCACTTGTTTCGTGCCCAAACGGAGGAGTCGTCTCTGAACGCCTGTTCCAGCTGCCAGGCCAAGACATGGCCGCCACTCCAGAGCGCTTCCACATCTCTGTGCACACATATGTACAGTGGGGGAAATAAGTATTTAACCCCTTGCTGATTTTGCAGGTTTGCCCACTTACAAAGAATGCAACGATCTATAACTTTAATCATATGTACATTCTAACAGTGAAAGACAGAATCCCAAAGAAAATTCCAGAAAATCACATCA